TGTGTGTGTTGTGTGTGTGTGTGTGTGTGTGTGTGTGAAATAAATCAGTGAAACATGAAAGTGCACATGACTTATATTGGTAGAAGTATGTGAACAGAGATGAGGGAAATCTGGGGGAAACAGTGGGCAGAAAGGAAGAATGCCTAACACCTCCCCCATGCACCCCTTGGTTTTCTGACAACTGTTATTCCCCGAGCAGATGAAAAGCCATTTGAAGAAAAAAACCCTACTACAAATAAAAAGGGAGCTGATAAGGCACCCCTAACCTGTGCCATCTCCCCCGCAACCATTTCTATCCTCATTGCATATTGTGAGCCAAGGATTCCCAAACCTGGCTGTATTATTATTATTATTATTCATTTTCAATTATGTAAGAGAAGATCATAGGGAAGGGGATTTGGATCAGGGTACTGGGGTAAATAAAAAATACAGAATGTGATAGAGGACAGTATATATCATTATTATATTTGTTGCTATGTTTTCTTACCAAGCTTACTTCACACCTTACCATATTTTTCTAAGTCTTTAACATGTAAAATTATATCTTAGATTTTCTTTCTCATAATTTTAACTCATTCATGTTCTCATTTCACATCCAACTATACAAAGGTTCCCACTTTTTTCTAACCTCAGCAGTTTCTTTGTCTTTTAATGCTTCAGTTAAAATATCCATCTCTGTTGCCTCAAAAAAAATTTCTATTAACTCCTGGGATGTTGGAATCTCCTCTTTTTTCCAGTATTTGGTGAAACCTGGCTTTTTAAATAACATTTATCTATGCCCCCAAACAACATAAAAATCAAGTTTTTCAGGTCTGAGGAGGAACTTGGTAAGTTAGTTTTAAAAAGGAATTTATTATAGTTACAATCCTGATACCACCTTTCGTTAGCTACCAATACAATTGTGATTTTTTTAAAAAAGGAGTTGTTTAATTGTCATTCTCAAAACAGATGCTTTACAAAAGGTTTTCTAAAGTAGAAACATCCAAATGCTACAAGCTGCTGGTCTGTAGTAAAAAACACTCTCTCCTCCCATCCACTTTAGAGTCACTCTGCATCAGCACTCATACCATGTTATGTTGTTCCTCCACCATACAATGCTCCTTAACAGTGAAAATAATTTAAAATTTGCAGTCATATTGCAAATAAGAATAAAAATTAGAGAACTCTTGTCAAGTCACAATCATCATGTGACTTAGCTGTATCTTGATTACTGAAAGAGGACTTAACTGCAAATGGCTCGTTATCTACAACTACTTCTTTTCGAGCTCTGTGCTGGGGTCTTGTTGAAAATGGAATATAGATCATTACTTATTCCTTCCTTTTCCACCCATGGCTACCCTACAGTTTTGGATCAAAATAGGCCACAGCTTTCCAGTAAATTCATAGCATGTTTTTCTTGCAAGTATGCAATGCCTTTCAAGCTCCATGCCTGAGCAAATCTAATTTGCAAATCAAGCATGTTTATCTCCTGAACACAGAACAAAAGCAGGTTAATTTGCTATGTAGAGTAATGTTAGAAAAACTAGCACTAGGTGAAGCCACTCTCTTTAATTCTTAAGAAGCTCTGCTTCTAGTGGCATATGAACTATACTGTCTAGTTTAACCCTTAATAGACATCATCCATAATCCTCACACATGCTCTTGCTGCATCTTTACTTTTTCAATCCTGGCTATTTGTTTTTATTCTAGAGTATATAAGAACCTCTATTGCCAGCAACTTGCATTAATCTAGCCATATATTCATTTAGACCCAAACCCTCCACTGTGCCCCCTATTTTACAACACCAATTCTTTTCTGGTTACCAAACAGCCATTTTGTGCATCCTCTTGTTTCAGGAACGGGGACTTTTTTTTTTTTCAACACTAGACGCTCACTGATTGTTGAAATACTTTTTCTGAGAAAGATGAAGAAACATCGGGCCTCCAATTGTTTGGAATTCAGTTCTCATAATTCAGATCCCAGCCAATTTGATCACTGGAAAGGATTTGGGGGCAGGGCTATAGACCAACACATCTGTAAGGCTCTTGCTCTATGAATGGATCTAATTATTGCTATAACTGGTTTATCTTCATGGAGATGCTTGTTACAAAGGGATTCATTGTTAGAGGGGAAAGATGGGACTATTACAGGTGCATGAGTGTGTCTCCAGTACTATGGAAAGTGCAAAGAAAGTTCTTCCTTTCTTAATATCCAGTATGCTGGAGCCCTTCATAACCTATTTCTCACCCCACCCTAATCCCCACTTTCTCCTTCTCATGCAGGTGTCTCTACAGAAACCACAGAAAAAGGAAATACTGCAAAAATGATGCCACATCTCCTTTGCTTGGTTTTAGCAAGATCTGCCACTCACAAAGAAGATGCAGAACTTCAACTTTAACTTCAAAGATCTCTGTCTTTTTCGCTCTACGTGCAACTTAAGATAGGTCTGCACAATGCATGGAACAAGTTGAATGCAGTTCATTTTGTTACATATTGTGTAGCTAGCTGAGCAGGTGGCCACACAGTATGTTTCACATTCTCAGTCAAACAGAAAAAACAGATGGTTATTTGGTCTTGGTGTTGTCCCAAACATATTGGTACACTCCATTAGTTCATAATGGTTGCAACTGCAGATTGTGCAAGCCCAAATTATAAAAACGGAGCCATGCCCAAATTATAGAAATGGAGCCATGGGTAAGCTTTGGACGATTCCACAGGCAGGAATTTAATAAAGGGTACATAGATTTGTGAATGTACATACTGACATTTAGAAAAATGGACAGATCGTGTTATGCCCGTATTTTTCAAAGGAAGAAAATTATTTTGCTGGCGTACAAAGGTCTAAATAATTTGTGGACAAGAAACCTAACAGACCATCTTCCTCTATTTGAATTCGCATTATCTAAAAGGTCTCATTGGCTGTTTCACTATTGATGCAGAGTTGTCATGTAACTCCACAAAACTGGATATCCTCCATAACAGCATCCACCATCTGGATCATCCTCCCTTTACATAAGCCTCCTTTGCCTTGTAAGCTTGCTTATCTTGCTGTTCTATGGTTTTATCTTTAATATTGTATTACATAAATACTCTACTCGTGATTTTATGGTTTTTTGTACACATCTCAAGCTCTAAATATGAAAATAGAAAGAATATTTAACAAATGGCTGAGATAATTCTATTGAAATAGTTTGTTTTTGGTTTTTAAAAAGTCTAATTAACATTCTAATTTGTTTTTAATTTTACCCACATTTCATATATATCCATAATTTTAACTGCACAATGCTCAGAAAGAAAGAAAGAAAGAAAGAAAGAAAGAAAGAAAGAAATGTTTATATTATATTTTGTAATAAATAAATAAATAAATAAATAAATAAATAAATAAATAAATAAATAAATAAATAAATAAATAAATAAATAAATAAATAAATAAATAAATAAATAAAGCTTTACCAAATGAAGAAAGAATTGTATGTGGATTCTTTTTAAAAATAAACATTGTGAACAGCTCTATATGCAAACTCCTAAAACAAATCTACTTCAAATGAACAAGATTCTGAAACAAATTAGCTGTGATTGGTAGTTAGATTATATTTGTTGTTACAAGTTTAACAAGGCAGCTTAGGAGGTCTCACTCTGTTCACTGTTTAGCCTGTTACTTCAAACATCCATCCTTCTTCAATCTGTAATTTACAATCAACAAATAAGAGTGTGGTGGTGGCTTTGTCCTGTGGAGCTCCCAGAGATCCAGATACCATCCCATGTCAGATGAGAAGTCTTCAAAAATATCTAGGGCATGTTGTGGGGCTCACACGGGGACAACTTCTGAGAAGCTCACCTACACTTGTTGGCACTTCCAAGATCAGGTTGCTGCACTTCACATTTGTTCTTACAGAAGCATGAAGAAGTCCTTGAATTTGTCATCTGCACTAGATTGAGAGACATCGCTGGCTAAACTGGCCTATCTTCCACAGGTTCTATCTGCCTGCTAACCCTCCAAATCCTCAGACGCATATATTGCAGGTATACTGGGAATATAATAAAGCTTCCAGGTCTCAAAAACATGTTTGAAGCCCAAAGGGGTTAATTCTGTTTTGACACACAGAAACCTGCATAGTCAAGTACCAAGACAGACACAGAGACCTGTACTGCAGTGGTTAAACTATAGTCAGTACTATAGGCAATCTCTCCTAATGACTTGAGTTGAATCCCAACAGATTCAGGTAGCTGGTTCACACCCGACTCAGCCTTCCATCCTTCCAAGATCAGTAAAATGAATACCCAATTCACTGGAGGGCAAAATGTTCCTTGTATAATTATGTTGCAAACCACTCAGAGAGTGCTCTAGCGCTACAGGGTGGTATATAAATTGAAACAACAACATTATCTTCACAACTGTTTCCAGGAAAAGTTAAGACCTGAACCTGGAGGGGTACCTAAGCAATATAGCTTAGATTTTGACCTTAAGATCACAGGAGCCTTAAGAAATAACAATAATTCAGCAGGTAAGTTCTTTTAAAAACAAAGCATATCCTTCTTCTCAAACCAATTTATACATGCTATGTTTTGTAATTTTGGGGATCTGAAAAAATATATATGTAAATCTAGCCATGAATCAAAATGTCCCCCAACTACTGATGGGTTGAAAGAGCAAGGAAGATGAACAGAGGAGCAACTGATCTCTTCCCCAATCCTTCTTCTCTGCCTCTTTTCTTTTGCTTAAAAAGAATCCATGCACTACTGGGTTTGATAGAAGTAATAAACATTAATTATATCTGATTTCCAGTCTGGCAATACAAAATACCCAAAGTATTGGCAATAACAACACTGTGTTTTCATAGGGAATCAATTGGATTTCAGGCCAGAGAGGCTTCTGACTCTTCCTAAATCATGTTCTTCGGTGCTCTCACCTGAAACTTGGGACATATCTTGAGTCCCATCTGTTTCCATTTTCCTCAAGTTGTCTGAAAGAAAGAGAAAAAGAAAAGCCTTAAGTTTAATGTGAAGCACAAAATCACAGAAG